CACGCTGTTTATTCTTTCCTCTTTATATAAGTAATCGAAGATTCTACCCTACCTTACCATCCAGCAAAATCTTTGATTTGGAAAACTGGTGACTGTATTTTCTTAGCCTAAATTTAGCCCAAGTTTTCAAATCATGACTATATTTGTCCATAAAATAGCAAAAGTATTAAAAAAGACAAAAATATTAAGAGTAATAATTTTAGAATAGCTACTCCATATTTCTATCCCAAGTCGATCTTAGTTCAGAAATATGGTATTGAGAAGTGAGGAAAATAGCATGCTTTATTAATTTTAAATACAGTTCTGACCTTTTTTGTCAAAATGAGTCCATAATTTTTATTCCTGCTTAAGCACACGCCGGATTAACCATATGGCAGAAGGGGCGTCCGCCCACGGGCCCCACGCTTGGGGGGGACCCGCGCTTTGCTCGCGCGGGTGGACGGAAAAAGGTCCACAAAGCCGCATAGCCACGAAATAAAATAACGTCACTCTAAAGAGCGAGGCCCCATAAATAAAAATGCCTTTAAAGTTTATATTAAGCTATCGGAACAAAATAAATAACGCGAGGCCTTAGACATCAAAAGGCGAGGCCAAATAAGGCACCCTGCAACCAGATAAAGCTTCTCCCAAGAAAATTGTAGGGTGATGGGAGGATTTAGAAATTAAAGTCATAACAAAAATTATGTACTTAAGCCGCGTTTACACCACGTGGTCCGTGATCATGTTTGGGCCCTCCATTGTTTGTATTATATGTTAGTAGACTGTTCAGGATTATAGAGAAATATCCACCTGATGCTCACGCCTTTGCGGACGATTTACAACTCTATATATATATCGTTCAAGTCAGATTCGGCCTGTGATCAATTGGCTGCAATTATTCACTTGGAACACTGTATTGATGCGATAAAAGACTGAATGCTTTCCGAGAAACTAAAGGTTAATGATGGTAAAACAGAATTTTTAATTATTGGAACTCGGCAGCAACTAGCGAAGGTTAATTTTAATTCTTTGATAATTGGGGACAATTCTATTAACTCGATTGACAAGGCAAAGAATCTGGGTTTCTGGTTTGGATCGCGGATGAAATTGATGACTAACATCAACAGGTGTTCAAGTGTTGCGTTTTTTAACATTTTTAACAATAGACGGATAAGGAAGCTCCTTATACTCATGAAACTGTGAAAATTTTGGTCAACCCATTGGTAATAAGCCGATTGGACTATTGTAATAGCCTTCTATACGGGCTACCAGCAATTCATCTTAAGAAGTTGCAACGTGTCCGAATACCTCGCGGTTTGATCATACATAACCCCAACATTAGTTGATTTACACTGGCTGCCAGTAAAGTCTACAATAGACTTTAAACTTTTATTAATAGTTTTTAAGGCATTTCATGAGCTTGCTCCAGATTATGTAACCCAACTTATAACTGTTAAGTCGCCATCTAAGTATAATATTAGATTAAATAGAGAACTCCCGTACTTTGCAATTCCTTACCTCAGGGGTGGATCCAGCACTAGTGCACTAATTTGTATGACACAAGAAAACTGCTAAAAATGACCATTTTGTTTTGTAATGCAAATTAGTGCACTAGTGCTGGATCCACCCCTGCCTTACCTTCATGCATTCGAGAGGCTAAACTCAGTTGACAGTTTTAAAAAAACTTTTGAAGACACATCTATTTAAGAAATCTTATAATCTGTAAATAAGTTCATAATTTTGGATAACATAATTTTAAATCATTATTTCAATTAATTTTCATATTTATGTATAATTTGTACTGAATGTTACGCGCATGTGCATGAACATATACCAAATAGAACATGCGCACTATAAATGTAAATTTATTAGTAGTAGTAGTAGTATTCCACTTTCAATGACACATGGAGAATTTCAAGTCATGACAACGTCAATTAATGATGATGAGTGAGGAGTAACCATTGTAGATGAATTAATGAGTTGTGATAAATTTAAGCATGAGCAAAGATCCTTCAAAGCTTTTGTTTCTGGTGTGACTTCCAACATTTTAAAGTTTAGATCGCCCAGTACGAATAGGTCCTTACCACATGTTAGGACCATTAGATAATTTCCAGTGAAGTCGTCTACCGGAAATGTTATTGGACAATCAGGAGGTCGATAAACGATACATTCATAAAACTATTGATCCAAGCACAGTTAATAGAATATACATGGTTTGGAGACTAAACAAAAGTGCAATACAATTATTAACTATGTTATTGTCCACGTTTATGATAAAAATGGTTCCTTTCTCGTCACGTACCAATGGCATTCGTCTTGCTAAGCTCCTCAACCTTGACTTGAAAAATATGTTAAAATGCATATGATAACCATTTTTTTACCAAAAATTTGCAAAAATCAGGCGATTCGAATGATATGTATCATTCCCCGGTCGGATAAATACTTCTATATATAAAGATATTTTGAATGGGCTTTTTCAATAGTTGGCCTGTAAAAACGATTCTGTAAAACTAATTAGGATTTTGACGTTATACCGGGCAGATAAGAAAATCGATTAGTGTCACATTACAATAAATATAAGTCGTATGCGTCAGGATAGACTTCGCTAAATTCAAACGGGGAGCCACCACGTGAAAGACATGTTTGTTCCAAGCATTTTAAGTCTAATGACTTTTTGGGAATTTGTCTGGAACATTCCCTCGACTGAAGAGAGACGAAATTGGGGTTAATCTGTATACAACGATACAAATTGCGGTCGAAAAACAGATGGACTTATATGCGAGATCTGAAAGGGCGACTAGATGCAAAGTGGGGATGTTGCATTTTCTCATGCTTTAGACTTATTTATCGAGAAATTATGTCGGTAATTCATTAGAGTTGGACATTCTAAATGCCCTTTTAGATTATCAGAGAAAGCGCATTCCATAGTGAGGAATAAGAACCATCTTTTGTGATAGATTAAGACACTGGGGCAAAGAGCAAAACCACGTTGCAAGAGATGTTAACAACCTATGAAAAGGCATATGTTTGTTGCAAATTGCCTACGGAACAAAATAACTGCGAAAATTTATAGGTTAATTTTTCTTATTTCAATTTGAGATGTAAAAACACCTGATCTTACTGCTCATTCTTTTTCAGTACATTATTTTTTTAAGTAAACATTGTTTGTAAGACATAGTTTACATTCCTATATAGCCTTGGGGTTGTTTCCATAACACTGGTTCTCATATGAATACATAGAAGTTGTCCAAAAATGAGGCCACTGGAACAAATAGTCTTAAAACAGTAAGGTCTATTACTCTTTGTTGAAAAATAGATGTATTAAATATATATAAAGAACCAACATGTAACATTATTATAACATTATACATTATATGTCAATAAACATGTAACATTATAAATAAATATTAATAAAACACCAACATGTAACGTTTATTTATGTAAGACATCAAAACTATGGACACAAGATGGTAATGTATTCTTAATTTTCCCAATTTGCCCGACACAAGTCTGGTAACACATTGTCCCAGACTCCCAGTGGCCTCATTTTTGAACAACTTCTACGTATTCCTCTGATATGAGAACCACTGTTCATGGAAACAACCCCAAGGCTATATAGCATTGTAAACAATATCACTATGTCTGATTGCCAAAGTGTCCCAATCTGGTGTAACAGATGTTTCTGATTCCTCACTATGGGATGCGCTTTCTCTCATAATCTAAAAGGGCATTTAGAATTACCGACATAATTTCTCGATAAATAAGTCTAAAGCATGACAAACTGTTACATTCCCACTTTGCATCGAATCGCCCTTGCAGATCTCGCAGAGAAATTCATCTGTTTTTTGACCGCAATTTGTATCGTTGCATACAGGTTAACCCTAATTTCGTCTCTCTTCAGTAGAGGGAATGTGCGTTGTTCTAAACCACACAAATTCCCAAAACGTCATCAGACTTAAAATGCTTGGAGCAAACATGGCTTTTACGTGGTGGCTCCCATCCAGCGCGCTTGAATTCAATGACGTCTATCCATTTCTTTCGTCTCCTTACTGCCTCTGGGCACAAATCTCCATTATACATTTGATTTTGCATCTGGTGTTTTGGTAGAACCGTATACGACACAACTAGCTGCTATTTTGCAACGCAAAGTATACAAATTTTGATGCATACGACATATAGTTATTGTAATGTGACACAAGTTGAGTTTCTTGCCTGCCCGGTATGACGTCTAACTTTAATTAGTTTTCAGACTCTTTTTTCCTACCCAACTATTGAAAAAAGCCAATTTTGGCATGTTTGATCCAAAATATCTTAGAAGTATTTATCCGACCGGGGAATGATACATATATATCACTTAAATCGCCTGATTTTTGCAAATTTTTGGTGAAAAAATGGTAACCATGTCATATGCACTTCAATTATAAGATTTCTATTGGTTATTCTGTGTAAAATACAATAGGCACGTGATGAGAAAGGAACAATTTTTTGCATAAATCTACCTCAATATAGTTGATGAGTTCTAATGTAGTTTTATGTGGTCTGCAAACTAATGCATATTCTATTAACTGTGATCTAAGCTGCTTGTTTCAATCTTTACCCCTTTCTTTAATTGATGAAATCCTGAACTAGAAATGCCAGACCATTCTTTTAAATTGCAAACGTTCAAATTATTACTACGGCAGTATGCAGAGACACCGCCACCACGTTCCAAGCCTGTCAAGTCTTAATATTTTGTAACCTTCAAAGTTAATATCAGCATTAGCTATCAGCAGTAGAGTTAAGCCATGTCTCCGAGATTGTCATCAATTCGTGCTTAACCTGATTAGCCAAAAGTCGAAACCTAACAATATGGTCTCTAAAGCCCCGTTTACACTAGACTCGATTAATTGGCTCGGCACGGCTAAAATTCGTACCAGTACCCAATTTTATTAGTGTTCAGGCTACAAAAACAAAGGCCGAGCACAGATGAAATCTGCACGGGTACAAATTTTTGTTGTGCCGTCGAGAGTAGTGTAAACGAGGCTAAAGGCATTACTAATATTTTCTAACAACACCTGTGTGGCTCCGTCTTAATCGAAAGTCGTTATAAACGAATTTCCAATGCCCGTTGATAATAATCACTAGCATGTTCCAGATCACCTTTTTTACAGCAAGCATTACCCAGGTTGTTGTATGAAGTAGCAACATCAATATGATTCGGTCCTAATCGTTCTAAATGAATTTTCAGCGCCCGTTGATAATAATCATTAGTAAGTTCCAGATCACCTTTCGTACGACACATATCACCCAGGTTGAGGTATGAAATGGCAGCGTCAGTATGATTTGATTTCCTGCGCTCGTTGATAATAATCATTAACATGCTCCAGATCACCTTTCGGACGACAAACATCACCCAATCTGCTCTATAAAGTAGCAACGTCAGTATGATTCGGTCCTAATCGTTCTAAATGAATTTCCAGCGCTCGTTAATAATAATCATTAGCATGCTCCAGATCACCTTTCGCACAGCAAACATCGCTCAATCTGGTGTTTGAAGTAGCAACGTCAGTATGATTCGGCCTTAATCATTCTAAACGTATTACCAGCGCCTTTTGGTAATAATCATTAGCATGTTCAGGATCACATTTCTTATAGCAAACATCGCCCAATTTGCTGTATGAAGTAGCAACGTCAGTATGGTTCGGTCCTCGTCATTATAAACGTATTTCCTGCGACCGTTGATAATAATCATTAGCATGCTCCAGATAACCTTTCTTGCGGCAAACATCACCCAATTTGCTGTATGAAGTGGCAACGTCAGTATGGTTCGGTCCTAATCGTTCTAATTTAATTTCCAGCACCCGTTGATAATAATCATTAGCATGTTCCAGATCACCTTTCTTATAGCAAACATTACCCAATTTGCTGTATGAAGTAGCAACGTCAGTATGGTTCGCCCCTAATCGTTCTAAATAGATTTTCAATGCCCGTTGATAATAATCATTAGCATGTTCCAGATCACCTTTCTTGTAGCACACATCACCCAATTTGCTGTATGAAGCAGCAACGTCAGTATGATTTGGCCCTAATCGTTCTAAAAAAATTTTCAGTGTCAGTTGATAATAATCATTAGCGTGTTCTAAATCACCTTTCTTATAGCAAACATCACCCAATTTGCAGGATGAAATAGCAACGTCAGTATGGTTCGGTCCTAATCGTTCTAAATTAATTTCCAGCGCCCTTTCATAATAATCATTAGCATGTTCCAGATCACGTTTCTTGTAGCACACATCACCCAATTTGCTGTATGAAGTAGCAACGTCAGAATGGTTCGGTCCTAATCGTTCTAAAATAATTTCCAGCGCCCTTTGATAATAATCATTAGCATGTTCCAGATCACGTTTCTTGTAACACACATCACCCAATTTGCTGTATGAAGCAGCAACGTCAGTATGATTCGGCCCTAATCGTTCTAAATAAATTTTCAATGCCCGTTGATGATAATCATTATCATGTTCCAGATCACCTTTCTTGTAACACACATCACCCAATTTGTTGTATGAAGTAGCAACGTCGGTATGGTTCGCCCCTAATCGTTCTAAATAGATTTTCAATGCCCGTTGATAATAATCATTAGCATGTTCCTGATCACCTTTCTTATAACACACATCACCCAATTTGCCGTATGAAGCAGCAACATCAGTATGATTCGGCCCTAATCGTTCTAAACAAATTTTCAGTGTCAGTTGATAATAATCATTAGCGTGTTCTAAATCACCTTTCTTATAGCAAACATCACCCAATTTGCTGTATGAAATAGCAACGTCAGTATGGTTCGCCCCTAATCGTTCTAAACGTATTACCAGCGCCCGTTGATAATAATCATTAGCATGTTCCAAATCACCTTTCTTGTAACACACATCACCCAATTTGCTGTATGAAGCAGCAACGTCAGTATGATTCGGCCCTAATCGTTCTAAATAAATTTTCAATGCCCGTTGATGATAATCATTAGCATGTTCCAGATCACCTTTCTTGTAACACACATCACCCAATTTGCTGTATGAAGCAGCAACGTCAGTATGATTCGGCCCTAATCGTTCTAAATAAATTTTCAATGCCCGTTGATGATAATCATTAGCACGTTCCAGATCACCTTTCTTGTAACACACATCACTCAATTTGTTGTATGAAGCAGCAACGTCAGTATGGTTCGGCCCTAATCGTTCTAAATAAATTTTCAATGCCCGTTGATGATAATCATTAGCATGTTCCAGATCACCTTTCTTGTAACACACATCAGCCAATTTGCTGTATGAAGTAGCAACGTCAGTATGGTTCGCCCCTAATCGTTCTAAATAGATTTTCAATGCCCGTTGATAATAATCATTAGCATGTTCCAGATCACCTTTCTTGTAACACACATCACCCAATTTGCTGTATGAAGTGGCAACGTCAGTATGGTTCAGCCCTAGTCGTTCTAAACGTATTACCAGCGCCTTTTGATAATAATCATTAGCATGTTCCAAATCACCTTTTTTACAGCAAACATCACCCAATTTGCTGTATGAAGTAGCAACGTGAGTATGGTTCGCCCCTGATAGTACTAAATCAATTTTCAATGCCCGTTGATAATAATCATTAGCTTGTTCCAGATCATCTTTCTTATAACACACATCACCCAATTTGCTGTATGAAGTAGCAACGTCAGTATGGTTCGCCCCTGATAAGTCTAAATCAATTTTCAATGCCCGTTGATAATAATCATTAGCATGTTCCAGATCACGTTTCTTATAACACACATCACCCAATGCGCTGTATGAAGTAGCAACATCAGTATGATTCGCCCCTAATCGTTCTAAACAAATTTTCAGTGTGAGTTGATGAAATTGCATTGACAGTTCGAACTCAGAGAAGCGAAAAAGGGTATTCCCAAAAAACGTATACATTCGACAAATGTTTTCAAAATTCAAGCTTATTGCGTATAGCGTTTCATCAGGAAAAAGCGTAGTATCATTAATCCTTTCGTGAAATGCTTTCAGATGCGAAATTAATTTGATTTTATCTTCCCTCTCTTTGAAGAAATTCAATGTTATAATGGTGCATATTAAATGTCTTGAATTATCATCATTCTCAGTTTTCTTCAAATAAAAAAATGTTTTCACGGCTTCATGAACAACACGATGTAGGCGGATATAATCGTCATTATCAACATGTACAAACAATGAGCAGAGTTTTATTGAAGAAATTATATCCTCAGCATCGAGCCCATTTTCTTGCTGCTTAATATATTTTACAACGAGATCAAGTGGGAAAGGTTCAAACGATATCAAAGAGAAAAGGTTCAATGCATGTTTAAGAATTGTGTTATTTTCTGCACATTTTTCAACAGCTAAAAGCACTGCTGTCGACATGGTGGAGGAATATGCTGCTGAGTTCATCTGCCGAACACGTTCTTCCGTTAATCCTCTTTTACCTTTCTCAAGCTTTTCCAAATATTCTCGCCACGAGAAATTTGGGCAGCTCTTGATGACTTGTCTCATATACACAGCTGCCGCAGCCATGGCCAGAGGTTGACGATCTAACCTCTCTGCCACCTCATCTAGTAATGGATCATTTTCTTCAATACTAGATAACAGGACAAGTAACTGGCGACATTCTTGCTCATTCATACCGAGATTAAGTGAAATATGCTTAGTTGACAAGCTGTCTTCAGGTACAGCGTTTGTGTTTTGCGTTGTTAAGATAATTTGGCCGTTATTCCAACCTTTGTCTCCTCTCTGAGGCAGTAGTTGAGATATAAGCTCTACGTTTTCTACATTGTCTACGATGATCCACCACTTCTTCCAATTCTTAATTCTGCAACATATTTGTGATCTTAAATCTTTGATTTTTTCTTGTATTGTTTTAGACGAACTTAAAACACTTTGTAAAGCACTCTCGATACAATTTAACTTCCGACCAAATTCTTCATAGGAAGAAAATAGTGACTCTAAATCTTTTCCGTTGAGTGTCATCACAAACATTGCATTTACTTCTTCGAATATATTTTCACAAACTTGTCTGGAGAGTTGAGATTTTCCACTTCCTGGATTCCCAGAGATGTAGAAATATGTAAGTTTACCATCATTATCGCTGCGCAATCGTTCAAGATCATGTTTCATTTCGTATATCAGGTCAGAACGAGGAACTACCTCATGGGTTGGCTTTGGAGGAAGAACCTCAAAGGACGCAAAAAGGTCCCTTATTCGAACAGCTTCATTTGTTGACAATCCTAATGCTGTCAACGCATTTTCAGCTTCTGCTGTCATTACCTGTCATGAGCTAATTTATTTCGTAGTTTTCTTAGATTATCGATTTCTGTCTTTTCCGCTGTAGTAAGACAAGCCCCAATTGAGTTGGAATAAAGAATTGCATCAAAAAGTGCAGTGCAATCCCATTCATTTGAATCTCCATTTTGAAATTTGGACTGGAGCGTCGTCTTATTTGGCCTTGCTCGTGTTTTCTCCAGATTAAACAATTGACTTCCACTCACGTTGGTGTCATCCCATGCTCCAAGAGAAGCCTGGTAACGTCTGTTCCATTTCTTGATAAAGAAATTCCTCAATTCTTGTCTAACAGCATTTGTAACAATATAATCTGCTCGAGTGTAGTTTTGACTTTCCTCGCTCTCCCACGGTATTCCCGACATTCTTCTTCCTACGAATTCATAGCAATATTTAGAAATGAAACAAGAAGCGGTCTGCCAGGAAACCCTAGTTCTATATATAGCATGCGAGAAAAAACCATCCCGCTAGCTTGAAAATGACCGGTGAATCAGCTTTATATTGAAGACTGGCACGTGCGCGGCACGCCGGAGTTAACGCCAGAACAGGCGTTTTGTTAGGATAAAGTTGGCAAGTTTTTTACTAAACTAGAAATACGTGCATGCCGCAACACCTGGCTATTTTAAACTGAGCATATTTTTTTTTCCTGAGCTAGCGAGACCTCAATATACTAGCTGATGTTTCACATTTTTATGAAACATACACCGTGGTAATTAAAGGTGCAATGAAATCACCGTTTACCTACTGCATTACGTTGCATGCAGTTATAGTAATATAGGCTTATAGTTAATACTTCAGTATAGCTAAACCTTCAAAACAACAAAAATAATTTAAATCCCAAAACACTAAACGTCAAATGTTGTTTTTCGATTATTGAAATCGTGCAGTGATTGCAGTCGACTCTATATATAAAAGCGTTTTCATAGCCAATCAACAAGTTGCTAATCACCAGTCCTTACTAGTTCAAATTTTGCGCATGCGCTCAAGTGCCATGATCATTGAATGTCCACGGTCTATATATGAAATAGAATTTGCACAACTTTGGATTCCGCTATGTAACAATACCCGGGGGTAATTCCTAATCTCCGGGCGGAATTACCGGTAAACTCCGGTAAAGGGAATCTACTACAACATTTGCTAAAAATAATATAAAATTAAAATTACATCAGTTTAAACGCCGGTAATTTGACTACATTCTCCAAACTCTTCTTTAACATCAAACATCAATTTTAAGCAAGCTAAGAAAGCAAATGTTGAGTAAAAAGCTGATTGGCTTTTTTCAGCAACTGAAGGACAATCTTTAATTTAGCATCTGGAGGACATATTTGCCTAGCATAAATGTTTCGAAACGTAAATTTGGAGCAAACTACAGAAATATTTACTAATAGAATCTTTGCTTGAATTGCTTGGTGAATTGCTTTTGAACGCTATATAAACCTTCACCACTGGCGGAACGATTCTATTTTGTGAATAAAGGAAACATCTGGAGGACAACTTTTAATAATTATAACGTCAGTACAATGGGTCTATCAGCTTTTTATAGACAAAACTTATCGTGATACGACAGAAAATTACTCTGAAGAGAGAATTTCATCATACGCCATCTATTGCGTGGGAGGTGCATGCACAAGACTGGACAAAAAAGCTTGGCATAAACCTTGAACTATTTTTTAGAATCAAAAAATGTAATTTGTAGTTATTTTCACCAATTATTGTTAGGTGGCTATTATTTGTTTAACCAGAAGTTACCATCGCTAATGTACAAATTGAGAGTCGAGAAATTTCCCTTTAAGTTTTTATGCTACGCTTAATAACCGTGGTTTAATTTTTAAAACTAGAAATACATGCATGCAGCAACCCCTCGCTATTTCAACCAAGTACACAATTTCTTGAGCTAACCTGACCGTCAAAAAGTGTTTTTGAAAGTGTAATTTGAATTTTGATATCAAAAACACACACTATATTAAAGTACTAGAAATACATGCATGCATGCAGAAACCCCTCGCTATTTCAACCAAGTACACAATTTCCTAAACTTATATTATGAAATGCCCGTTCAATTTTGCTGCATTATACCATAACAGCAATTAAGTAATGGTTGAAAATCGAAGTTTCAAACGATTAAAACGGTACAAAATCGTCAGGGACAAAGGAAAAACCCGGCTCAAATGTTATTTTATTCTGTAATGCGGTCGACGGCTAAAAGTTTTATCCCCGTGCGGGCGCGGAGCGCCTGCGAGGGTACTAATTCTGCTCGGAGATTAGGAATTACACCCGGAACCCAATTCTATGTCATGGACGGTCGGCAATGGGTGGTTTTGTAAGTTATGCGCTTGCGCCAGTAACAACTTGTAATCAACAAACGCTCTGATTAGCTAAGACAGAAAGTTTGTATTTAAATGAGAACGTCAGCAATCTAACTGTCATTTCGTAAACCTTTTTGTAAAAGTGTTTCATAAACTTTGCGCAAAATAAAACGAGAAGAAACAAGATAATATGAAGTATATCCTGACTTGCTTTCGGAATCCCTTGCCGTAATTTTTAACTGCTCTATCATTACCGGTATCTTTCCTGAAGAATGGAAATGCTCAAAAGTCATTCCATTATTCAAACAGGGCGAGCGTAGAGACTTAAATAATTATCGCCCAATTTCGATAATACCGGTTGTGGCGAAAGTTTTCGAACGAATTATTTATGATCAAATTTACGGTTTTCTTACTGAGAACAATTTACTATGTAATAGCCAGTCTGGATTTCGACGTTTGCATTCAACTGTTACTGCACTTCTAGAATCTACTAATAGCTGGGCCTACAATATTGACCAAGGACTGGTCAATGCTGTCGTTTTCCTAGATCTTAAGAAAGCCTTTGATACAGTTGACCATGGAATTTTGTTGTCAAAACTGTCAGCATATGGTCTTGGGGGTGCTGTGGCTAACTGGTTTAGGTCTTATTTAAGTAACCGCAGTCAAAAATGTTATGTCAATGGCCATCTTTCTACCAACCGTACGTTACTTTGTGGTATTCCACAGGGAACTATTTTGGGACCATTGCTATTTTTATTGTATATAAATGACTTGCCAAATTGTCTTGAGCGCTCCCAAGCACGAATGTATGCAGACGACACCAATTTAACATTTGCAAGCAATAAAATTGAAGATATAGATTATTACTTTAATCAAGATCTTGAAAATGTTAATAAATGGCTTATCGCCAATAGGCTTACATTGAATCAATCCAAAACTGAATTTATGCTAATTGGCTCACGACAAAGAATAGCTACTTTCCAATCAGATCCATGTTTTAAAATAGACGGAATTCCTATAGACAAGGTTTCACATACAAAATCTCTAGGAGTTCACCTTGATGAAAATCTATCTTGGAATATACAGATCAAGGAATTAACAAAAAAAATTGCTTCTGGTATTGGCGCTTTAAAACTCGTTCGTTCATTTGTCACAGTTGCAACATTGTATTTAATTTTTAATTCCCTTGTCCAGCCATATTTCAATTATTGCTGTACAGTTTGGGACAATTGCAATAAAACCTTGGCAGATAAACTTCAAAAACTACAAAATCGCGCAGCGAGAGTTTTGACCTTTTCAAGCTATGACACTAATGCCGATATCTTACTCGATAGACTTGGCTGGAAAAAGTTATCTTCCCAACGCCAGTTTCAAAAGGCTGTCATGGTTTATAAATCACTCAATGGACTTGCTCCACAATACATGGGTTCCATGTTTGTAAACCGTGACAGTGTCAATCCTTATTCGTTGAGAAACACAAATAGTAAGCTGGCTGTTCCTAAGCCTCGCACAAACTATCTCAAGAATAGTTTTAGTTATAGTGGTGCGATGCTATGGAACAGCCTACCGATTGGGCTACGGCTAGCAAATAACCTATTAAATTTTAAAGCGGGCTGTTCCAAATTATTTTAATCTACATTCACATTTGTATTATATTATATTTCTTGTATATATTCCTTACACGGCTCTCATGAAAAGCAGGTATATTAATTATTAGTTTGATTTATCATTGTAAATATTTTTGTAGTCTTATTTTGTAATTCATAATCTTGTCATTTGTCAGCATGAAAATCCTGATTGAGAATACCGTGTGTAAATAAAGTTTAATAATAATAAAGCATGACAGATAGCAAAGATGAACATGGATACAGTCAAGACAAAGTCAAAGCCGTGTAAGAGGAATAATTCATAATCTGCAAGCTTATAAATGTTTTTAAAGGGTACGTGCATAATTATTTTGTTTATTTCGTATTTGCTTCGTGCGATAAGGATGAGCTGTGTTTATATAATTTTCAGCTTTGTATGCCATTTAGTTGCTTAATTTTCAGCTTTGTATAATTTTCGGCTTTTTATACCAACGCATAAACCTGAGAAAGGCCATTACATTTTAAAATGCCTATTCACTTGTGGGATCTTTACGGATTTGAATAGGGCTTGAAAAATTTGTTTATAAGTTCTACAACCTTTTTTGATATAATTAAATAGTTTCGAGAATACGTCGGTTGGGGGGACTTGGACTCAGGGATGATTTGCAAACATGCCGTCTTTTATAATATAAACATGAAGAGTTTCACTAGCGATATAGTTTGCGCTTTTCAAGAAAAAAATGCGGGAACGGTGCGTTCTGTATGGCTGTAGAAACTGGGCGAGTTTTTCTCAAAAAGTTTTACATTATTGGAAGATCGAAGTAAAATTACAATTGATTATATTATGTTTGACAAGAACTTGGTACCTGAGTCCCAGGCCCCGTGCACGACGGAAATTTAGGCAAATCGTCATGTTTAGATGTAAATATTTCCGAAACTATTTAATTATATCAAAAAGGGTTGTAGAACCTATGAACTAATTTTTCAAGCTCCATTTAAATCCGTAAAGATCGCACAAGTGATATATAGGAACTTTAACGTAAAAAAGTGTTTTTGAAAGTCTAATTTGAATTTTAATATCAAAACTATACACTATATTAAACCATAAAACTTTTAGCTGTCAACCGCATTAAAATAACATTTGAGCCGGGTTTTTCCTTTGTCTCTGAAGATTTTGTACTGTTTTAATCGTTTGAAACTTCGATTTTGAACCATTACTTAATTACTGCCATGGTATAATGCAGCAAATGTGTACTTGGTTGAAATAGCGAGGGGTTTCTGCGTGCACGTATTTCTACTACTTTAATATAGTGTGTATTTTTGATATTAAAATTCAAATTACACGTTCAAAAACACTTTTTGACGTTAAAGCAATGGTGTAATAGCCTTTCACAGGTTTATGCGTTTGTATAAAAAGCCAAAAATTATACAAAGCTGAAAATTAAACAAATAAACGGCAAGCAAAGCTGAAAATTAT